CTAATTCAACGTTCGATCTTTACTCTTTGAACCGAGAAGCATAGAACCAAGAGAGGTGGAGAGTTGACCCCTTCCTTATTTTACAATCAAGGCTAACAGGGAGTTAAAATAAATATTATTCGCATATATTACTGTTAGAAAATACTTTTATTGTATAATCGGAGACTTAACAAAGCGTTCTCAGCGTAAAAATGTGGAATACCACAGTAACAAATGCTTGACACAAACAAAGTAAAAGCAAAGAGCACCTGACGTTTCAACGAGTAGAATTGTACTTGGGAAAGGGAAAATAAAGGCTTTACCTCAGTACATATTATACGAGAACTTTTGTAATACTCTACTATGAATGTGCTGCAAATTAAAATATCTTTTGAAGTTTACATTTAAATTATATTTTTAAAAGAGAATAATAATTGCAAGAGATACAGTAGCTGTATTTGAAATTTTGTGTCGTCAGATATTCTTAAGGTTGTCATTTGTTTATTAAAAAAAATATATCCTAAAGCCCTCCACAGACGTTTTAACTGATCAGTTCGTCTTCAGTTAACACTGTCAGATCGTATGTATCGGGCTTTATCCAAGTTTTCTATGAAAATCAATTTTTATTTAAATGTTTCTGAGAAATTTTGAATATAACAAATTGAAATACACCGCTACGTAGTAAAGCCATTATGCCAGAAGCAAGCAAAATAAAAATAAGAAAATGTCTGCGCTCGGCGTAAGCTCAATCTTTCTAAGAAAATGCGAACAAAATCTGACATTTTAGACATTTGTTCAGAGTATAAAATAATATTTGTATTACTTTACAGACGGGAACTCTGTTTATATAATACTTAACTTGAACGTAATCTCTGTTTTATTGGAAATTATTTTATATTCTCTTATATCAATTTGGTTTACTTTACATTAAATCTATACTTTATACTATTATAATAAAGCGTAAACACACACTTCTTTGTTGCCAGAGATATCAGCAATCGCAGCATATTTTTGAATAGTCCTTTTTTTAATAAAAAGCCCTAAACATATGTCATGCTTTAGGCTATATATTTTACAACAGAAACAATTATCATTCTACAACATAAAGTTTCATCACTTGCCATAGTACATCAGAGGGATCTAATTAAAACTTAGCAGAGCGTACGACCGTCGTTACTCTGTGCACTTTGCGGCGCCAATGCCTCCGGGTTTAGCGTTGAACGTAGAGGGGAAATGACGTCACCCAAACTGCAACAACTCCATTAACTGCGACTAAACGATGTCGACAGAAACTAGCTCAAACCAAATTCAATTCGAGGAGCGAAAATCAAGCTTAACTTTAGTTATTCGTGTTGAAAACATTTCGTACATGTTATTTATTTTATTACTAGCTTTCGCACGCCACTCCTTACGCGAGGAATAAAAAAAAGTGAACAGCCTATGTGTTCTTACAGACTATCCTCTACATCTATGCTTTTCATCGAGATCCGTTCTGTCGTTTAGACTACAAACTCTAACAAACATCCATCCATCTATACTTCGCATTTACAATATTAGTATGAATAATAATAAAAACACACACAGAGTGACAAAAGTTAAAGACAATTTCTTTACCTTTTGTCTGTCTGTCCCTGTAGTCCCGGTAATCTTCGAAACAGCTGAATCGAATTTGACGTAGCTTTTAATAAGTAGTTTAACAGTGGTAGAGCCCGCTTTAACATCTTCGCATGAATGGGACGCCTCGCCCGGTGTAATACCACGACCACACAGAAAACAGGCGTGAAGTGGAAGCAATTCCGCGTTTCGACAGATGAGTGTAGTGCCGGAGGCCTAAATTTAGTCCCTTTCCCTTTCCCTTCCTTTTTTTGAAACGATGGGAAGGAAAAGTGGATTTGACGGTGAGGAGACGCATAAAAAGGGAAAATGTCATCTTTATGTGCGTTTCCTCTACCGTCAGTTAAGGGTAGGCAACGCATTTGCAATTGCGGATGTTTATGGGCAGCGGTCGCTTTCCCTTTCGGTGGATTCAGGCAGAAAAAAAAGTAGTTTTTTTCTTTTTTTCAACACAAACGAAGTTTCAGATAGCAGCTAGTTGTAAAATATGTATTAAAGTTAACCGCTACTTTGTAAACAACTGTGTTATTGCAATTTTAAATTACCCCCTTGGGA